TTGATTTTTTTACAGAGAGGAAGGGAGAGGGATAGAGAGTTAGAAACATCGATGAGAGAGAAACATCAATCAGCTGCTTCTTGCACACCCCCTAACTGGGGATGTACCCGCAACCAAGGTACATGCCCTTGACCGGAATCGAACCTGGGACCCTTGAGTCCGCAGGCTGACGCTCTATCCACTGAGCCAAACCGGTTAGGGCGATTCTTATAGTTTGAGTTAAATAATCACTATAATTTAGGAGCTCCTTGTACAATTAGGCCTGGAGAAGAACTGACTGAAAGAGTATATCAAGGAATTTCACAAAAGAGAGGGTCCAGACAGGCTGATGTAGAGCAACACCGAGAAGGTAACTGCTACTCCTTATGGTCACCTATGACTGGTGGGCTCATCTCTGGGGAAGGTGAGTGCTTGGTGCCATGTTCCCACAGTATAGGAGCACACTCTCCATTCTGGGCATTTTTCCCCTTAAGGACTTTGCCCGAACAACTCTTTTTCCCCTATCCCAAGCCATATATGCCATTTGTAAAAACGCTCCTTCTTTCAAGAATTTTAATCTATTGTTAGCATGATCTGCCCTTGGACTTTTAACCAGTGATTAATACTTAGTAGACAATCAATAAATGTTGGGTTCTTTCATTTTTCCATTGCCAACCAGAAAACTGATAGGTTACCCAGACTTTAGAATCAAAAGAAAGCAAAAATTATTCCTGACTATACCAACAAATCACAGGGGATAATATAGGAACGCGCCCCCCCCCCACACACACACACACAAAGAACCCCAGTGGTCAGGAGACCCGGATTCTAGTCCTCTCCTTTGGTGTGCTCTCCCTAAGTGCCCCTTCAGAGACAAGGCTGACATCCTTCTTCCCTATTCTACCTTCATTCTTTTTTTTAATTTTTTAAAAAATACAGCTCGACACTCAACCACTGAGCCATTCTGGCCGGGCTGCCCTTGGACTTTTAATGGGCAGACCTTAAGTTCTCAACAAGCCCTATAAAAATAAAGGTGGGAGAACCCAAGAAACAAGTACCTCCAACAACTCTGAGACAAAGGCACAGCAGTAGCAAGACAGTCTTACTTCCTCTCCGCCACCCCCCCCCCAACTGCCTGATGACTATTGGAGGGGTAGGCATAATTTATGCCTTCTCAAGTATTTCAGCACAGTCTGGTCTCATATGTCCTTGTGCCTGGGAAGGCCTGTCTTAGGTCCTTAAGACGATGGGCACAATGTTCCACAATCCTGCCTGACCACTGTGTATTACAAAATGTTCTAGCAATCAGTTCGGTCTGTAGCCCAGCTGCCTGGGGCCAGGCTAGATGACATCTATGTAAACTCCAAACCAGGTTCCTCAAAGAAAACTGAGCAAACAGAAGAACTTACCATTTCTATAGAAAACTCAGAGGTAGCAAGTCACCCCAATACCCTGAGCAGCCACTTACCTCCCTGGCTGGCTGGTCTTCCTGTTTCCTGTTACTGGTTTCCATTTGTCCCCAGGAAATTCCTGCAAAGCAAAATTCCGATAAGTTAGGGAGCTCTGAGCAGTCAGGTATCTAGATGGCATAAAAAATGTGAAGAGTTCAGAAACCTGTCCCTGGCCAGGTCCCCCGGATGGTTCCTTCTACTCTCCCATACAGGTAGAGAAATATGTACCTGGAGGGCTGCCTTTCTATAAGGAGGCCTGCTGAGCTGCTGGGGGCATGCAGAGACCAAGAGAGCACTTAGGGATCTTGACAGTGTAGTCTAGAAACTCAGTGTTTCCCTCTCTTTCTCCACTCCCCTCCCAAACCACGTTTAAAACCAGTTTAGCATGTTTGCTGTTTGCTCTGGCTCTTGTAAAGGAGGTATTTTTGTTTGTTCTGCCTGGTGAACCTGCTCTCTCCTTTTTACTCTACCAACATAGAAAGCATCTTCTCGGAAGCCCTGACCCTTGAGGGGGCTTTGAGGCCTAAATTAGCTCTTGCTGCTGCAACCCTTTCCCAGAGTGAGGCAGAGGGAGATCATGCATTCCAACACACTGCAAGGGCCCATCCTCCTCCCAGATCCACTGGCAGGGGATGAGGTGGGCTTACCTCTGGGGAGCCTGAATGCTGGGTGCCATGTTCCCCACATTACAGGAGTACATTCTTCACCCTGTGTATTTTTTTTTCCTTAAGGGCTTTGCCAACAACTCTGTCCCTTCTCCATGTGTGCCATTTGTAAAAATGTCCCTTCCTTCCTATTCTAGCTTCAAACCTAATACAAATTTGCCTTTGACATTCTGCCTGGTTTTGCTTTCAGTACCTTCTATCTAGCAACCCAGAGCTTAGCCCAACGGAATGCACAGGTATTCCTAAACCTCAGTGATGTTCCAAATTCCCTTTTTCTCTAATGCTATTATTGGTCCCATTCAAAGTTTTATTACCTTTGCCCCAATAAAACAAAAAATCGCTCCCTTTTTGGACTAAGACATCTGGTGTCAGTCATACTGGCTAAGATACTTAATAATTGTGCTATTTGAGAGGAACTATGTCACTTCCCTAAACCTCAGATTCCCCTCTGGCAAATAAGGACTATGCTATCTAGCCTTGCTGGGTTCCCAGTAGTGGGAATAAAGTGTGATCTGCATAGATAACGCCTAGCACAGTGCTCAGCAAATAGGAAACTCTGGATGTTGAGTGCCATGGAGAGGATGAGGTTACTCAGCTTTTACAGGATCAGAGCAGTCCCTGCCTGGAGCGTGTCATGGTAGAGCAGCTCTAACCACTTGTTAGATTTCAGACTCTGCCTTGACACCCTTGTGAGATGTCCCTGCCCTCAAAGACATATTCCTTGCTCAGCCACAGTGGGAGCCAGGATTTCCTGTCCATGCCCTGTCTGGCCCTATGGGAAGTGCTCAGTAAATAGCAGTGGCCAAACCAAACAAAGTCCTGTCCCAACTCCCAACCTCCCTCATAGATTTACTTTTTTCCTGAGCCACTTAGGTTGCTATAAATTGCCCACATCCTTTGAACTAAAGAGGTAGTCACCCCATGGCTTGGTGCAGGTGGGAATTGACTGTGGTGAGGACTTGCTGCCCCAATGGAAGATATATTACTAGAAGGTGTCCTGCCATACTGGAGAGAGCCTGGGCTTTGCAATCAGCCTATGGAGAAACAGTGTAAGTCAATTAGGAGTTTGGCCCTGAAGCTAAACTATATGGATTCAAGTCCCACACTTGCCCTTTGCTAGCTATGTGACCTCAGGCAAAATCCACAACTTTTAAAAATATCATTTCCCCCAGTTATTTAATGGTGTGATTGTGATAATAACATTACCTATTTCTTGATTACTTTGAGGACTGCATGAGTTGATACATGTAAAGTGCCTAAAGCCATACCTGGTGCACAGTAGATACTCAAATGTTAGTTATAATTGTTCAGATCCTGGCTTTGCCACTTGCTAGATGTGTGATCCCTCTGAGCCTCAGTTTTCTCAGCTATAAAAATGGGATCCTATTATAACTTATCTCATTCAATTGTTAAATGAAATAACCTGAGAATATATGGAAAACTAACTGGCATGAAGTATGAGGAATGTGTGTACTGATTTTAGTTCCCTTAACAGCACAAAACAGGAGCCAATTACCTCTTGAACATCTTCCAGGGGCCATAAGGAGGACATCAGCCCTACTTCACACAGCCACCATCACAACTACCTTAGTCATGTGAGCTGGGGTATTCTAATCCATGCTATAAGCTTACTCATGTCTGGGGGCAGGGTGTGTTCAGGTGGCTGGGGTAAAAATGAGCATGAAGTGGCCCTTAGATGGTTATACACATGTCTGAAAGGCTAGTGTATAAGCAGACCTGTTTAGCTAGTCTAACAAGCATTAGGAACTCAATGTGTCCCTCCCTCAGAGTGCAAAAGGAGGCCTGCATTGCTGCTGCCAATAGATACAACTTGCAAATTTCACCTCCGTCCTTTACAGAGTTATTGGCCCTGGGCTGACATTTCTGTAGCTATCATCTTCTTAACCCCCTGCCACCCTCCAACTTCAGTCCGCTTTCTCTATTGTCTATTTGCAGGTTCTTCTTTTAGCAAACAGTTTCTCAAGCTAAGCCAATCTCTCCCTTTATTTTAAAAAATAATAACTCATACTTATAAAATGATTACTATCTGGCAGTTACTGTTCCAAGTGCCATACACAAGCTACATCATTTAATCCTCAAAACCAACTTTTGAAGTAGGTACTATTATTACCTCCATTTTTAAAGTCGGAAAACTTAGAAATTTGAATCTTGGCAGTCTGATTCCAGCATCAGTGCCCCCAAACCATTATTTTATATTTCCTCTCCTTTTTTCAATATGTTATTATGGATATTTTCAATCATACAGACAGTTGAACAAATTTACAATTAACACACATGTATCTACCACCTAGATTCTACAATTAATATTTTACCATATTTGCCTTATCACAAATTTCTCTATTCACTCTTCTATCCATCCACCATCCTATCTTAAATTCCTTATGTATTTCAAATTCTTACAAACAACTTTATCCCCATAAAATTAAAAGCTTAAATGAAATAGACAAATTCCTTGAAAGACAAACTACCAAAACTCATATAAAAAGAAACAGACAACCTAATGACCCTATTAAAGACATTGAATTTGTAGTTTAAAAACCTTTCCACAAAGAAAACTCCAGACCCAGAAGGCTTTGATAATGAATTTTATCTAACATTTAAAGAAGAAATAATGCCAATTCTATACAAACTCTTCCTGAACATGGAAGAGGAAGGCATGCCTCCTAGCTCATTTGGTAAGGCCAGCACCTGGCATAAAAACCAGACAATGACATTATAAGATTACTACAGACTATAATCTTTGATAAACATAGACACAAAAATCCTGCCTTTGACCCAGTGATCCCACTTCTGGGAATATATCCGAAGCATCCCAAAACACCAATCAGAAAGAATATATGCATCCTCATGTAGCAGTATTACTTACAATAGTCAAAATATGTAAACAGCCGAAGCACCTATCAGTAGATGAGTGGATAAAAAAGTTGTGGTACATTTACACAATGGAATACTATGCAGCAGTAAAAAAGAAGGAAGTCTTACCATTTGGAACGGCATGGAGGGACCTGGAGAGTATTATGCTAAGTGAAATAAGCCAGTCAGAGAGAGACAAATATCATATAATCTCACTAATACGTGGACTCCAATGAACAAAGTAAACAAATGAACAAAATGGAATCAGAATCCTGAATACATAGAACAGACTGGCCTGTGCCCAAGGGGAGAAGGATGCGGAGATGACTGAATAAAGAAGGTGAATGAAATAGCTAAAGAACAAATATGCATACCCCATGGACACAGACAAAAATTTGGTGAAGGCCAAGGAAGGGGGAGACAGGAGAGGGTGGAGGTGGGAAAAGAGGGGAGGAGGGGAGCTCCTGTAATAATGTCAACATTAAAAATTTTAATTAAAAAATCCTTCAACTATGAAAAAATTAAATCTAGTAACAACGTGAATAATATGTCCTGACCAAGTGGGTAATACTAGGCTGGTTCTTGTTTCAAAAATCAATGTAATTCGCCATATCAGTAGACTCCTGATAAAAGCTCTCATTAAACTAGTAATAAAAAGGAACTTCCTCAACCTGATAAAGGTCATTTACAAAAACCTACAGCTAGGTCCACCAGTGTGCCTCAGTGGTTGAGCATTGACCCAGGAACTAGGAGGTCAGGGTTTGATTCCTGGTCAGGGTATATGCCCAGGTTGCAGGCTCGATCCCCAGTAGGAGGCGTGCAGGACACAGCCCATCAATGATGTTCCTGTCTCATGGATGTTTCTATTTCTCTATCCCTCTCCCTTCCTCTCTATCTAAAAATCAATAAAAAAATATTTTAAAAAACTTGATAGCTAACATCACAACACTGAAAGACTGGAAACAAAGCAGCAATATCTACTCTCACCACCTCTATTAAAGGAGGTCCTAGACAGTGCAATAAGTTCCCCCTCTCCCCTAGAAAAGACATACACAGTGGACATATTTAAAATTATTTCCACTTGCAGTGATATGACTATCTATGTAGAAAAATGTTTAAAAATTTACCATAGTACCAAAACCACTAAGTGAGTTTGAAAAGTTTACAGGGATACAAGGCCAATACATATGATTGAATTGTATTTCTATATAATAGTAACTAAGAATTTTAACTTGACATTAAGAAAACAATACTATTTACAATAGCATCAAAAACATAAAATCTTAGGGATAAATATAACAAAATATGTGCAACATTTGTATGCTGGAAACTTTAAAGTAAGAGAACTAATAGACTTCAAAAACTTCAGCATAAATATCATTAAATAAAGATCCATATTTGTTTATAATATTTTAAGGCAAAATTTACTTCTAATGAAGTGCACAAATATTCAGTGTACATTTGTTGAGTTCTTATGAATGTATACACCTGTGTAACTCAAATTCTTATCAAGATATAGAACATTATCATCATCCAACAAAATTCCCTCATGCGTTTTCCCAGTCAATCTCTGTACCACCTCCCATAGGAAACCACTGTTTTAAATTATTTTCCATAGAATAGCTGTTTTAGTATTTTATATAAAAGGAATAACAGCATATATATTTTTCTGTGTAAGGCTTCTTTCACATCTAAGGTTCCTTTATTCAAAGAATATGTATTGAGCAATTTCATACACCAAGTCATTCAGAAGCATTTGCCTATGCAACAACAGTTCGACACAGGAACTAACTTCTGGTTTGAATGCATCAGCCAAAAGGTGGCACTAAGAAAGCCACAGAGAAGGAATCTGGCAGTGAGCTGGTAAAGACTTAGGGGGTCCTCCCAGAAATACCTTGGGAGATGGTGGTAGCTTATGTTAGGGCGATAGGTCATAACCAGGTATAGCAACAGCCAGTCTAAACCTGACAGAGAAAGAAATTGGAGAAGAGGGAGAAGAATTTGTCCTTTAGAAAACCAGACAGGTCAGATCCCTAAAAGCAAAGCCTGGGGGACCATTTGCAAATTTTGGAGCTCCAAATAGTTTTAAAGCAGGAAATGGAATACATGATGTTTTGTATTAAGTGCTGCTCTGACACTCTATAGACACAATCTCATTTGATCCTCACAACTGATTTATGAGGCAGCCATTAGGAAACTCCACTTTGGTGATGAGGTAATAAGACTTTATTTAGTACTTGGCATTTTATGAGATAAAAATTCATTTGTCCCTTTAAAAATCACATAACTGCCAATTTTGGTGGTTGAATGACTTGCTTAAGGTCACTAAAATACCAATTATACAGCCAGGGTATAAATCCAAGTTTGGTCCATTTCATGAAGCAAAAGTTATTTTATTCTAACTCTAAAGATGAGGTAATTGCAATTTTGATAGCTGAGTGTCATGCCCAAGGTTAGTAAACTACCATATGGTGGAGCCAAGACTATATCGTTTTAAGAAATTATAATTGTTTTCAAATGATTCACCTTGCTTTCTCCTTAGAAAGAGAACAGTGAAGCTCACCCATGCAAGTACCAAGTCCTCACCTGCACTGTTGGCTTCCTGGGTTTCCAAGCGTTGCCAGGTGCCAAGCTGCTGTCCTCGAGGGTACTGTGCTGGGGATTATGATAGCAAGCCGAACACCGAATGCATTGGTGGTGGTGGCACCGACAGTTGTAGCAGTTTGGCATCATATTTCTCTTTCGCAAAGCAGGGCAGATCTCCCCAGAACAATAAATGCAAGGGTCATGTACTACAGCTCCCTGGACACTGCAGGAGTATGAGCAGGTCCTGTGGTAATCAAAATCACCACAGTGCAGTGGCTTACAACACATGGATTGCTCTAGTCCTTTGCCGGCAAAACATTCTGAGTAAGTAGGAGTTTCTGACTGAAGGGATGGCATGAAATGATATGATTGATCTGTGGCATGATATTGTTGGTCTGTGGAATGATATGATTGGTCCATGGGATGGCGCCTCAATTCCCTATAGCTGGAGCTCTTTGGCTGGAAATTTTGGTCTATAGGTTTTGGTCTCTGGGTAAAAGTTTTATTACTATGAGTGGTTAAACCTGGCAAATGAGATGTAGATAGGGATTTGCTATTCTCTTCAAAGAACTTTCTTCTGTCTGCAAAGGGCAAGAGGATGGCTTCCTCCCCAGCTTGGGCAGTAGAAGCCTTCAATTCCTTGTTATCTCCTGGGCTGGAAGAGCTTTCTGTGGCTAGTGCCACATGCGGCTGCAGGTTGTGCTCTGGAGACCATCTCCAATGACCTCCACAGACTCCACGGTGAACACTTGTTTTCTCAGAGTCTGAAGAGGATGAATCAGATGCTTTCCACCAGGTGTTCAGACCCAAAGAGGACTGGCCAGGCCTCTGGCTAGGGCTCATTCGGCCCTCCAAGCCTATCCTAGATTCATGGCTCTCAGGGGCTTGGCTAAGGCACTCTGAAGACCTAGCTCTAAGCATCATGTTCTTGTTAAAGAGCTTATCTCTGGGGCTAGGTGGTTTTTTATATGAAGGTAGCAAAGGTGAATTAGAGGCAGGAAGTAGAGGACTTTCTAGGGGCTCCTCGGCCTCTTCCACTTGCTCTTTAGTGTCACACAGCTGTGATAAGGGACTCTTGCTTTTATGGAGCTGGGCCTTCCTCCTCTGAATTTCATTCCGCAGGTTGGTAGCAAAACGCTCACTCTTCCGTCGGTTTTGGATTGAGCGTCCCCGGGTCCCTCCATTTCGCCTACCACCCACCCGGCTACACTCCTTGGGCTCATTGTCCCCTTCTTCAGTTGCCTCTGTGGTGCCAGCTACTTTAGTGGTTGAAGAATAGTCCCTGGTTTGTTGAACAAGAGATCCAGAGGCAGAGGGCTGCTGGCTGGGCAATTCATTGCCTGCTCTGTTTACTCTGTTTGGATCCTGAAAACGTCTTTCTGGAGGATGTCCATCAGCCTCTTCATGAGGGGAGCTGCTTGACCTCTGGTGTCCCGAACCCATAGGCTTATCATCCACTGGCCTGGTCTTTCTCTCTTTGCTGGGCTGGTCCTGGGTTCCTCCTATAGGAGGACATGGACTTTTCTTTCCTGTATGGCTGCTATGCAATGGGGACAGAGTCCACTCATGCCCATCCTGTCCAGTTGGGAGGTCCATCCCCTGCCTACCCCTAGTATCAAGGTGCATATGCTGCAAGTGGGATGCAAGCAGCTGTTCAGGGGCACTATGGCGATGGCCTGTGGGTCCTGTGAGGTGTGGAGGGCTGCCAAAAGAAGAACTCTTAGCTATCTCTGCTGAAGCCTTGCTGGGTGGGCTGGAATCATATGATTTTGGGAATCCAACAGCTTTGCTTGAGGCCTCCATCAGTAAGTGTTCAGAGCCCTGTTGATTGGATTCAGGAGGTTGGCTGAGCTCACAATTCTGATGGCCCTCATTTGTCACTTGGTCTTGTCCACTGAGGCAGCAGAACCTGTGAGGGTTCCTTGGGCATAGCTCAGTATCTAGGCTTGGTTTCTCCTTCTGTTGCAAAGAGTCCATAGGCTCAGAAGCCCTGCGCTGCTCTCCATTAAGGAGCTGGGCTCTGGAGGCCTGAAGACTGTCTCGCCTCACTGGAGGTTGTGGTGGGCCCTTGGCAGCCTTGGCGGCCTTGGCAGGCCCTGAGTGGTGACCCTCCTGTGGGTGGGATGACATCTGGGAGCTGGAAGTCAGCTGGCCCCCACTGGTGCGCCGACTACCTCCTGAGGACTCAGCCACATTAGGTCTGCCATTAGGGGTCTTAGTTAACGCTGGGCCTTGCATGATGCAGTCTGTAGAGGCTGGTTCCTCTGGCCTAAGGGGAAGGGCACAGTCAGAGGCATTTGAGCTGGCCGAGAAGGAGCTGTAGGCTGAGTCACGCTGGTTAGGGTACATGTTCTGGTCAATGGGCAAGAGGTGACCCTCATAGGTGGCTTGGCCTGGTTGTTCCAGGCTCTCCATGCTGCCAATGGAGCTGCTTTTCTCAGTGCTGCAGTGCCGGGAGAGTGGACACCACTGCACACACACGTCACTGTAAGACACAGGGCATTAGTTAGCCAAATTACCAAATCCCTTTCCCACTGTGGCCAGCCCTGCCATGGAAGAAGGCAAGACAACCCAGAGGCACCTATGCCATCAATGAAAGTGAGATATAGCAAGAAAGGAAGTAAGGGGAAAAGATGGACACTGGGGTACTATAGTGATGTGATAAAATGGGAGAGAGGCCAGCATATGGAAGAAGGATGGGGCAAGATCCCAAAGACTAAAAATGTGAGGTCTCCATTGGGGGTTATGTTCTGCTTGATGTCAGTGAATCTAGAATTGCTTCTGACCTGTCACTGTTCCCAGGGAGTCAGCATGGGGCTCTCTGCCAGGAGATACAATCACAGATTATTAACATTAGAGAGGGGCCTTAAAGGTCTGATTCAATTTCAGAAAGCCCATTTTGAAAATCAGTGGCTCTCAAATTTGAGCATGCATCAGAATCACGAAGAGGGAATGTCAAAACACAGGTTACTGGACCTCATCCCCAAAGTTTTAGGTCTGGATAAATCCTGAGAATTTTTGCTTCTAACAAGTTGCCAGATGATACTAGTGTTGTTGGTATCATCAACTTTATACCAGAACCACTGGTATAAAGCAAGCCCTGCAAAGGAAGTGATTTTTAGGAGGTTATTTTTCAGATCACTCAGTTCTAGCATGTGGCCCAGACAGGGCTGGAATTGAGACATCTCTGTTTTTTTCTTGACAATAGTAATCCTGGCCATTTACCAAGGACCTACGATGTGCCAGGTACTTTAGAGTGTCACATTTCAAACTTAAGGCAAGAAATCATCTGCATTTTACAATTAAGGAAACTGAAGCTTCAAGAGGTCAAGCAAACTGATAGCCTCACAAAGCTACTAAAGAAGCAGAGCTAGAATTGGAACCCAGGCCTCTGTAAGTCCATTGTCTTAGCTCTTCTACTTATACCATCTGTTAAATGGGACTATAGTAATATCTGAATCAGTAGGTTGCTTTGTGAGTAAACTTAGATAGCAAATGTAAAGCTCTTATCACAGCCTGGACACCTAGCAAAAGTTCAATACATGGTAGCTGCTGCTCACTTGATTGCTATTTCCACGACTATTGTTATCAGCATCCTCTTTACTACTAATATTGATAGTATAGTAACCCCTGACCATGATGCCGCCCTCATTCTCCATGATAAAGGCAAACTGGGGAGACCAAGTAAAAGGACTAGGGTCAAACACAGTCTTGAATTTTAAATATGATTTCCCACACACAAAGCCAAATTGAGCCAAGTCATGCCAGTAACTCCTATGACTAGAACCACAAAGGTTGCAGGCTGCTCTTAGAAAGGCCACAGTTCAAAAAGCCAGAGCTGAGTAGTGGCAGGAGCTCATGAGACTTTCAGATCAGTCTCCCATAATTCTTGTTCTCTGCCCTGCCCCTTAACCACTCTGTTCCCTTGACCTCTGGGCTAGAATCTTTTAATTCCTTGTTGGCAAGGGGACCTGCTACCCACCCCACCACCCTTCCTGCTCAAAACAACCACACCCCCACTCCAACAGGAACCAAGCTCAAAATGTGTTTCTGTGTATTCTTCTAGAACAAAATTGCCTCTGGCTCTGCACTAAGCCTATGGCTTCCAATGCCAAGTAAAGTCACTGAGTGGGAGCCAGCTCAACCTTGAGCTTCCCTGAACCTCTTCAACAGAAATCCCTTCTTGGACGATCTTGTTGTGGGAGGGAAAAGGCAGCTAAGGCCAGCAGCTTTACTGGCTCTGAGCTTTCTGAAATAGTTGTCTACCTCTTATGGGAAGTTGTTTCAACAACAGACTATACCACACTCTCTGCATTGAGAGATATTCACTGCAGGTAGATCCTATTATTCAAGGAGATCACATTCTGAAGGTTTTTGGCTCAGTGACAGAGCTGATGAACACTGGATGAGATTGCAGTGAGTCATTGTAAACAGGGAAGAGGAGCAGAACTGAGTCCTGGGGTCCTTCTCCACTAAGAAGAGGTGAGGAGGAACCATGGAAAGAGATTGCAAGGGAGCAGCTGGTGAAACATATGAAAAGCAGGGAAATGTGTCTCAAAAGCCAAGTAAGTTAAGTATTTCAAGGAAACATTTTCCAGAAAGAATGGGACTGACCCAAAGTTACAGAATTAGCAGCAAACTAGGACTAGAATGCAGATTGGACTCCCATTGCATTTTCCATTATAGCACTCTGGGCTCTATAACATCCAAAAGGTACTAGATCAGAGAAGAAGGAGTGATCACATTACCTACCCTCCAGACCACCTTGAGAGGAGAGTTCCAAACTCACCTTGTGTTGCAGCCGGAATGCCAGGACAAGCTGAAGGCTTCAGAAGGGACATGCATGGTGGTAGCCGCTTCAGGGCATCCCTCCAACAGCTTGGCCACATGCCATGAGTGCGGCCTACTGACAGGGGCGTTTCTCCTACAGCAAGAAAGGGACAGGAAGTCAGCTTAGAGAACCAGAGCTGAAATCACTTCCCACGCAGCTTCCGCCCCCACCCCTTTTCCCCCTAAAATGAAGTACAACATCTTGCAAGGAGTTGGCATAGGAATATTAATGGCCCTCTTCAGCTCCTAGTACTCAAATCTCTTTCATCCCAAAGGGTGATCCCTGGAGAAACAAAATGTTAGCTTCACACAGCTATTGTGTTCATAGGTGTATCCCAAGCATGTATAGCAATGCCAAACACATAGTAGATGCTCAGTAAATATTTGTGGAATACATGAGTGTTGCTGACCAATGAACAGTGACTTTACCCTAAGTTGTCTTTGAGGAAAAAAATCAATCTGGCCAATCTTCCGAATTTTCTCTAAGAAAGGAATAAGCCAGTGATTGAGAAGCTAGAACAACACTGGGTTTCAAATTCTCCAACCTTTGCTTATTCATTTGATAAGAATTTGTTGTATGTTTACTGTATACCATCTTTTTATAGCTCTGGTGACACAGACATGAATCAAATATAGTCTTTGCCCTTGAGAGTTATAGATTAGTGAACAAGACAGAGTTATTCAAATAAAGAGTGGTTAAAGGCCTTGAGAGAGTGAAGGATAAGAGGTGAGACACCTGAGAATGTAGAAAAATGGTGCAAAGGAGCCCCAACTCCTGCCAGGCAAAATAGAATAATATGGTGAAAGGTGCATGCTAGGCTGACGAGATTTCTGCTTAGCAGGTTAGGGGTGAATAAGAGAAGCAGGTCTGAGGCCAAGGCTCTGGATGCAACCACAGGGTCTGTTTGGTGCTGGAAGCTGAAGCAATAGCTCCTGAACTCATTGGCTTAAACAGGACCAATCCCTGTCCTCTGATATATTTCATATGAATAAATTCCACACTTGGATGTGGGTAAGAATAGTACGGAGAAGAGCACACATGGGGCATAGGTAGTGCCAGAAGATAAAGAAAAGATTGATGAGAGAGAGAATGAGAGAGGGACAAAGGGAGGAGGGGGAGGCTAAGGAGAGGGAGAGAGGAACGAAGGGAAGGAGGGAGGGAGGGAGGGAGGGAAGGAAGGAAGGAAGGAAGGAAGGAAGGAAGGAAGGAAGGAATTGGAAGGGCCAGGTAGATGATAGAGATAAGAGGGAAAGGAGAAAATCATGAGAATGATTATAGAGAAATACATAGTTGAGAGAACTAGATGATAGAGATGAATGACAGAGGAGGAGAAACAGGTGATAAGTTAGTAGATGACCGAGAGGTAAATGAATGATAGCTTATTTACTTGGTCTATAATTCTCTTCCACGGAACCATACTAGATACCAAGGGTTTAGAGTTGACTAAGGTAAGGGCCCCTGTTTTCAGAAGCTTGTTACACAGTGGGATAATTCAGCGGAAACACAGAAAATCCAAGCAGTGCAAGGCTCTAAGGGCTAAGGCCTAAAAATATAATTCTGAGGAGAATGGCCTTGCTGGGAAAAGCATGGGTTGAGTGGTAACATGCCAGACACAGACAAGGAGGTGTAAAAGGAAGGGCAGGGGAAGCTGTTTGTCAAAGGTCAGGAACCAGAGTCACACAGGTCAGCAGCAGTGACTAAGATTTATAGGGATGAAAGCCAGGTGAGGCTCCCACATTTAACCACATTGTTCTGTTATGGATTTCAGAGTGCACAGCAGGGAGGCTGAAGGCTCAAGAAAGTCCTGGGCAGGGGTTGGGAGGGAGAGCTAGGGGCATGCTCATACACAAAGCCCTGATGCTAGAAATCTCCCCAGCTTCTGTACCCAGTAGTCATTCATTAATAACTATTTATAAGGTATCTCACAGAAATACTATGTACTAGTATATATTGTGTACCAACTATGTACAGTACCACTAAGCACTGAGGACACAGTGGAGAACAGGGAACCTCTCTCATTTTGGGCTCTTCATCCACATCTAAGATTCCTGAAGTTCTTCTGAGTCCAGGGTTTATAAGATTAGCAGTCAGTCTTAAAACCACCTTCTCCCCAACTGTCAAATTACTTATTGAGTTCTACAGAGTCTTCTTTTTCTCTGGCTTTGAGCCTCTGTGTGTGTGTGTGTGTCTCTCTCTCCATTCTCACTGAGACTATTCCACATAATCACAATTCTCCTACACATAACCTACCATCAACATCTCCTGTTCTAGTCCAGGCCCTTAACAATTTACATTCAAAATATTATGTCAATCTGCCAGTCAGTCTCCCCTTGTTTCACCTCCGGTCACTAGTTTTAGATCATATCATGTCAAACACCAACTGAATTCTAGCACTCTCATATTCAAGAATCTTCAATGGCTACCTATTTCTTACTCTATCCTGCATTAAATATAAACTGGATCAGACTTTCAAAGCTGTCTTTACCCACCCAATCCAATCTCTCATATCTCTGCTCCAGTCACACTCTGCAACCAGCTTTGTGCCTTTGCTGATGGTTTTCCAGTAGAACCTAGCACAAGTTCTGAACTTGAACCACTTTGGTTTGAGTACTACTTCCAACACTTATTAGCTCTGTTGCGTTAGCTATGTGACTTCACTTCTCAGAGCTCTAGTTGCCATGGCAGTAAAATGGGGATAATAGTATCTAATTAATGGGGTTTGTAAAGATCAAATGAGACAATGCATGCCAACTGCTTAGAACAGGGTCTGGTAAGCCCCCAACCAATTTTAGTTATTACTATGACTGTTCCCTTTGCCTAGAATGCCCCCTCCCATTTTGTTAATCTAAATTCCAACTGTTCTTTAAGGTACTGCTCAAGTGCCATTTCCTTCAAGGAGCTTGCCCTTAGTAATTTAGTACTCACAATTTAGTCCCTAATAATAATCTGTTTTATATTGTTCATCATTATTTCATATATGTTATTCTCATCTTACCAACTATACCGAGTCCATAGGCAATGAGGCAAAAATAAGTGAGACAGATCTAGGTTAATATCTTTTTTAAAAATTTATCTTTATTGTTGAACGTATTATAGATGTGCCCTTTTTTTCTAGGTTCATATCTTAACTCGATCACTTTGGATGTGTGATTTTATGCAAGTCACGTAACCCATTTGAGCTTCAGAGCTCTTTTCTTACCTGAGAAAGGGAACAATAATCCTTACCTGGCTAGATTATTGTAGGGATTAGATAATATTCTCAATGCATCTGGAACAGACTTTGATGCATAGCAAGTTGTCAATAAATATGTACTATAATAAAGGTTATCAGCTCAGACTTGTCTTAATGATTCAATAGTACTCCCACCCAGATTTGTCCATCCACTGTCAAAGTTCTGCTGTACCACTCCCTTGCTTCATTTTGGAAAATAAAAGGCCCCTACTCTCTTTAGGGCTTTTCCAGCAATGGGGGAAAAAATCCCAATGTATACATAAACAAGGCAGTGGGGGCTTTGGGACCACTTGGGGGAAAATATAAGCTGGGGAAAGAAAATTCCAACAGAGGATCTGTAGCCACAGCTGGAATCTTCTAGCCATAGTTTGGGAAAGGAGAGGAAACTATATAGAGAGTCGAATACTTGGTCTATAATTATTCCTGAAGAGTCTATACGGTCTACATTTACATTCCCATCCTAGCTGTGACTTTGGGCAAATCACTTCTCTGAGTTGTAGACTCTTTATCTGTAAAATGGGGAAGATAACCATCCCTTACTCAAGAGTTATAGTGTGGATGAAGTCCCATATGTGAAATCACTCAGCATAGTACCTGAAATACTATGAAATTTAAAAAGTAACAACAGGGACAATTTATTGAATACTTAACACATTGCGGACCAGTAGTTTTATTGCTAGCTTTACCTAGTGGCCAGATAAGTTTTTATTGCACGAGTACAAAAAACGTTTTACATAAATGTTAAAGGCACGCTTTAAAATTAAATACCCATGCTTTTTGAAGTTATTTATTACATGTTCTTACAAGCTAACACCTTTTTAAATTATGATACTTTGTAAAACACTGTGTAATATGAAGCGAGAATTCTCGTGATCTGTCTGCCATGTTTAAGATGTGCACTTTGTATGCATTAGCTGATTCAATCCTCACTCCAACCTTATCTATAAGAGCTATTATTATCCCCTCTTTACAGATTAGAAAACAAAAACCCAGAGAGCTGAATTGCTTTTGCTAAGAGCACACAGCTAGTCACCAGCAGTTGTTAATGAGGCTCAGATACTTCAGCCCTTTCTAGGATACCACACAACTACTCTCCCTCAAAGAGCAATCTGTCTCAAAAAGCTTGTATACCTGAGGCATCTCCTAGCCATTCCCTCAAGAAGCAATCAGGCCCAGCAGGCCTAGCTCAGTGGTTGAGCATCGACCTATGAACCAGGAGGTCAAGGTTTGATTCCCGGTCAGTTGGGGCACATGCCTGGGTTGCAGGCTCTATTCCCAGTGTGGGGCGTGCAGAAGGCAGCTGACCAGTGATTCTCATCATTGATGTTTCTATCTCTCTCACTCTTCCTTCCTCTCTGGAATCAATAAAAATATATATTTAAAACAAGAAGCAGATAGAAAAGGAAACCAGTAGTCCTACCTTCTTTAGGCAGTAGGGAAGTGGGATGAGGAGAAATAAGCAGAGAGGTAAGAAAATGCCAGGTAGCTCTAGGCCTAGTTATGGAGGCAACTATCCCTTTCTTTTAAGGATGGCTCAGGACTAACATCAAACACACGCCCCCTCATCTATTACCCCAAAACTCCTTACTTAGAAGCAAAAAGTAAGGGATACTGAAGAAAGAAAGCAGAAGTAGGGAGAGAGACAGCAGCCATGGTAGCCATGGCTACTAGTTGTACCTACCAGGATAGTTGCCCAGGGTGGGGAGATGGCTTAGGAGAGAGCTGGGTATCCAATCAGCTCAGATGCTCATCAACAATCCTTCCAGCCAGCCCCTAGGACTTCTTTTAGAAAGTTGGATCCTCCCTTAGCTGAGAGCCATCTGCCTTCCAGTTAAGACCTCCTGAGTGTGATCCAAGGGGC